GGCTGACAGAACAAAAGAGGCTGAGACACTGGCAGGATCCAGCTCTTAAAGCGTCTAAGACATTGTGCTGGGGAATTTGGGCTTTCTCCTAGAGACCAAAGGGAGCTGCTGAGGGTTTTGGAACTGGGGAGGGATGATAAAATGTGCACGAGAAATGAAGATGGGGTAGTGCAGACCACTGGCAGGCCCCAGACAGACCACTGTGGGCCTTAGGGCTGGGGAGGGGATGACTGGCATCCCAAGTGGGAGTCCTCTTCCTCTCTGTACCATCTGCAGTGTGACAGCACCATTTGCAGTGTGACAGCACCTCTCTGCGCCTCAGTGTCTGCTGCTGTATTGTGGAAATGGGCTATGGGGTTGTGACCTTCAGGGAGCTCATGAATGGTGGCTATTACCCATGGGTGCCAGACTTGAAAGTCTCCCACAGCTTGTCACTCATTCTTGCAGAGATCTTATGTCTGAGATGTCACCTTACTGGGCACAGGGGCCAGCACACGCTCATCCTTGCCAACATGAACAGGGAACTTACTACAAAAGAGCCACTGAGTTGAGCATGTGACATGTGTTAATTCCTTTAACCCTTTCAGATGACACTGTAGTATGTTTTATTCCCATTGTGTCAGTGGGAAACCAAGACACAGATCAACAAATGAGCTCAAGCTCATACAAAGACACAAAGTTCTAACTCTAAAGTCTGATGGCAGCAAGGCTCCTTATTAGTTATTGTAAATGGCATCTTACTATAAAGGAAATCCATGGTTGCTAGACACAAACCAACAAGACAGAACTGTCCTTCCTTACCTCATTCCCAGGGTCAGTCATTCAATCATTTCACACACATTAGAAGATGTTAAAAATTAACAGTTGTCCTTGGGAATAGAAGTATGAGCACAATATTAACTCCAGGATTCCTTAAATTCTTGTTAATGGTTATTAAAGTGATGGTGATGGCTGGTTAGCTTGTTGGGAGTGTTATTTTGTTCTGTTAGCCTTCATTGCTTCATTCTTAGTCTAGGATAACAGTGATGTCCCAACTTCACCACTAGCCATATAGTTGTAGGACATAGGTGAATGAACTATCTATCCTCCAGGAGCTGGCCAGCATTCTCCCCCAGGCGCACCTGTGGTGGTCACTGTGCTGGACGTGGTGGGGAAGATCACCACAGCTGCAGCCTTAACCATCACCTTCATGTTCTATGCTGAGCTCTTCCCCACTGTCATCTCATAAGACTGCCTTTGTGCCCCCTGCTCCTCTGCTCCAGAAACTGTGGTTGTGGCCATCTCTCCTCCCATCACAACCCTTTCACAAACAGCTATGGGGGCTGACTCTAGGACAGCAGTGCTGGACGGGACCCAGGGAAGCTAGAAATCCAGCCCAAGCCCTCCAGTTGTCCCCACGCCGAGGGAGGACAAAATGGAAGTAGGCCATGCCCTGACCCTGCCAGGACGTTTAAGAGTGAATGGACTTCTAAGGGGAATGGTGCTCAGGAGGTGCAGCCTTTGACAGGTGAGCAGGAGTACAGCAGGCAGAGAGAGAGAGGCCTGGAGGAGGGAGAAGCAGCCAGGAGCAGGAGTGCTAGATAGGCTGAAAGGAGTTGGCGACCCTGCGGGAATTTGTGTTGGCTCTCTTGAGGAAGTAAGCTGGGCCAGAGTGTAGCCTGGAGGTGGGAGCAGGTGTGCTCAGCCTGCACTAGCCTCCCCCAGGCAGATGGGCATGGGGCTGGTGGGCATCCTCTCATGGATTGGGAGCATCATCAGGCCTCTGGTGATCCTGCTGGAGGAGTACTACGTGGGCCTGCCCCTGCTCATCATCGGCAGCTTCCCCATTGTGGTAGGCTTGCTCTGCATCCTGCTGCAAGAGATGTGTGGCCAGGCGCTGAAGGATGACGTTGAGGACCTGGAGCAGAGGTCTCATCTACAGTGAGCTGCTGGCTTGCTCTGAACCCAGGATGTGGGCCTCATAGTGGCTGCCCCTCTCTGTATGCCCAGGCCCACACCTTGCCATTAGTCTATGGTTGTTAACAGGCCAATTTAGGACCCTCCAACCCGTCAGATGTCTGGCTGACTTTGGGTCAGGTTCTCCCTACTTTGGGGCAGAAATGGTGAGAGACATTGCCAGGGGACCAATTCCTGGATAGCCAGTGACAGGCTTCTGCTGCCTCCAAGTCCCCTAAGTCAGTGCCCCAAGAAAAGAAAATAGACCCCACAGGAAGAACCTCCTGCCCAGGGCTGGTCTTTGTGAGCAGCACATATTTGTGA